CTTTTGATTAAAGCAAAATGAAGCTCATTTTACTAAACTTTGATGTATGTTCTTAAATGCAGTATTTTTTTTCTGTCTTTTCATTGAGATATAATTCACATAACATAGACTTTACCCTTTGAAAGTATGCATTTCAGTGATTTTTAGTATATTCACAGATTTGTATGACCGTCACTACTATCTATTCTGGACATTTCACATAAATGGAATCATACAGTATGTGGCCTTTTTTGTGTGACTTCTTTCATTTAGCACAAGGATCATGTTGTAGCATGAATCAGTACTTCATTCCTTTTTATGGCCACATAATAATCCATTGGAGCCCTGGTGGCACAGAGCTTCAGAACTCATCTCCTAACTGAAAGGTCAGCAGTTCCAGTCCACAAGTCACTCCTTGGAAACCCTATGGGGCAGTTCTACTCTGTCGCTATGAGTTGGAATCGACTCAGTGGCAACGGGTTTTGTTTTGTTTTAATAATCCATTATGTGGCTATACCACATTTTATTTATTCAATTAAAGGGCATATGATAGGGTGAAGTTGGATTGCTTCGTACCCTCATAGTATTATGACAACACGTGTTCAGAGCAATATAAATAGTTGCTAAGAGCTTGGATTCCAGAATCTGATAACTTGGCTTTGAACCCCATCTTTATCCCTCACTAGCTCCCTGATCTTGGCCAGTTTACTGTGCCTCAGTTTTCTCATCTTTAAAATGCAGATTTAATACCTTACACACAGGATTGCTATAAGAATGGACTGAAATAATGTAAAGCATTAGAAATAGGGTGCATAGTAAGCTCTAAATAAATAATCAGTTGCCATTATGATAATGACCACCGTCGTTGACTTTATCATTTCTCTTCCTCAGTTGAAGCTTAATGAACCCTCTGCCAAATTCTAAAGTCTTTGAATTTCATCATTTGAAAACCCAAACTTTTCTTTCTTTCTGTTGGTTTTTTCTGAATTTGAAACCTCCACTTCAGGATTCCAGTGTATTCTTGTTCTTCTACTACTGTACTCTTGTCAGTTAAGAAGTGTATAATGTTTACTGATTAAGTGCATTTTAAAACTCACCTATTCTAAACTATGACTTCAGGATATATTTGCATTTTAAGCTTTCAGCTCTGTCAATAGAGTAAAGACCTATTGTATTTGCTAAAAACATTTCCAATTTTGGAAATTTTTGATATAACTTTGAAGACAAAAAAAGGAAGACTTTTCAGGGCATCATGAGGGAAATATAGGTAGTTGAGATATAAGATTTATATACTCTTATCCTTCCTTTACCTGTTCTCTAAGCTACCTCCTGATTTCCTCAGGATGAAAAAGCTGGAGCTGATGGGACTTACACTTTAGGAGCATGATTAATTGTCCATTGAATGGTGTCTTGGGAGAGCCCATTCTAATTCATGACTGACTTTTTCTACCCTCTGCAGCCTACCTCATCTAGCTCAGGACTTCGCAACTCTGCTTCTCCTGGACCTCCCTCCCCTCCCTCCTCATTTAAGCAAAGGTCATTCTGTATTCCCAAACTTTTAAGTTTTTGACAACTCCTGATATCTCCCTGCATTGCCTTAAAATTTTGAAGGAACATTTTCTATTTTCCATATTTTTAACTCTTTAGCTAATATTTGATAACTTTTTAGATACATCATTCCTCTTGAGTAATATCCTGGGAAGGCATCTAAGAAACTCCTACATTTTCCCTCTTCTGGCATTTAAGTGTATACAGACAAGTATGTTGAAAGATGTCCTTATAAAATAGTTGTTGTTTTATGAGTAAATACCATTTTACATTGTTCACTTTATTATTGAACTTCCTTTATGCTTTTATATGCCTTAGATTGAAACAGATATTAAATCCGCAAAGCGAGAACTGAAGAAAGCAAGAACTGTCCTACAAATGGATGAACTCAAATGCCGCAAACGAGTTTTAAGAAGGCTGGGATTTGCTACTTCTTCTGATGTCATAGAGATGAAAGGAAGAGTGGCTTGTGAGATAAGCAGGTAAAACCTGATTGTTCCTATAGAAAGTTGATTTTAATATGGAATGCTGTTTTAAAATCAAGAGCTATTAATCTTCGGGGAGAAAAAGAGTTGCCTTAAAAATATAAAGTCTGTATAATACCTTCCATATTAAATCAGATTTGAACCATGAAACTGATAAATAAGAAAAAGAGAGTAAAAAAAGTCTCTTGAATCCCACTACTTATTACAAGTACAGTTAGTATTTTGATGTATTTCCTTTCAGTCTTTTTTAATGCATTGTGGGATATTTATGT